AGTTAGTACTCCAATTATGTATTATAGTTATGGTATCATGTGGTACAAACAATAAACCAGAAAAACAATTAGTATCTAGTTATGTATTACAGTTGTGGTATCATGTGGTACCAATAAATGTTCTTGTTTTTGATGTAATACATTTGTGGTTTCATGTACTACAAAACAGTTGGTACCTAATAAATTCATTAGGTTGTGTATGATGTGGTGCTATAACTTTTTCTGTATCATATATACATTCTCATATCATTTCCAGGGTATCACAACGTAGCACACCAGTTCTCATGTATTACAAACAGTTAGTACCCCAGTTATGTAATACAGTTGTGGTATCATGTGGTATCATTTGTTGCAAAACCAGATCATCAGCAGAGTAGTAATCTGCAATGAGGCGGTACATGTATGAAGGATTATGCCCTCCGCTGCAAAGGAAAATAAGGGTGAATACTAGACCATACCAAATGATCCCATTATATCCCACCCGAAGGTGGGGTCTTGGGGTGGTAAGATATATGCAAAGCTGACCTCTACCCTAAAGAGTGGAGCGCTTGTTACCCCYGGCTAGTAAAAAGTTTGTGAAATGGAAATATACATATATGCAAAAACCAAAACTGCCAATACTACATGTTGTCAAAGAGTGTCAGTATCACAACCACACAAATCATAATAAGTCAAGACCAAAGTATCACCATAAACATCACACGCTATAGAAACTATGAGAGGAGAAATCACAACCAAAACAGTAGAAAACCAATKATGYAACTGGGTTTTCACAGTTAGCAATTTCAGGATTGTGGTGAATGATGGCTGATCCAGGGTCTGGATTCATATTGAAAGCCAAGTGGTTTACTAAATAGCTTTCTATGAAACCATGCTAGAAAAAGATACCAACATATAGAGTACATCATAGATCCTGGGGCTAGACTTGAAAACAATGAATTACTTAAGGCTATGTCACACCTAGCAATGCCCTAAATTTGGAAGGGAAAGAAAAAAATAAACAAAAACGTAATATATCACAAAGACAATCTTGCCCTTATTCATATAATGTCATTATATGACAGTAATTTATTTTTAGAATTACATTATTTAAGATTCGTTTTAATCTTACCCATTGATTATTATAATATGTGGTTGAGATTGGTTCTCACAGTTACCACAAACAATTCAGTTCTCATTTGATTAAGCCCCTATATATATATATATATATATATATATATATATATATATATATATATATATTTATAGANTATATATATATATATATATATATATATATATATATATATATATATATATATATTTATAGACTTGAGATCATGTGAGAATAAGGGTTTTTTGTGAGGCCCGTAGGACCAATTCTTAATTCTTGAATTAGATCTACAATCTGAACATTCATAAACGCCACGATAAGTTCTTAATAATAACAAAATTGTCACCGTGCAACTTTAGATCATTAGCTCATTAGCTTATAAAGTTGATCAATAAACATAAATTGATCTTACGGGTTTCACGAAAAACCTTTGGTCTCACATGATTCCAAGTCTATATATATTTAAAAGGTTACCTAATATTTGCAAACAAAATTTATGTCACAACTATAATAGACTTTCTAGATGGTGTGAAAAAGGACGTTAAACCCATGGATAATAAATAATTTAAATGTATATAAAAAGAAAAATAATATACTGGTATATGGAACTATATAGTATAAAATTTGAAATAAAAAAAAGCGTCTTAACGAGACTAAGTCTCGCCATACCACATCCACAACGACACCTAACCTTGAAAAAACACTATATATATCCGACCACTTTTTTGTGGTCTGGTTTTGTCATTTAAGGTTAAACTGTTCAAATTAGACTACAAACACCCCTAATTTTATGTCCTTATATTTTTCAAAAAAAAATTCGTTTTTATGGTTTATAATTTATTGTTATTTTTATCTCTCAAATTTAACCGTAATGAATTACCTAGAAACGAAAAAGTAAATATATGTAAACTATAAGGACAAAAAATGTAAATTCAAAAAATATAAGGACTAATGTTGAAATTCTAAACAAACCACAAGGACGAAAACCGTAGCTTACTCTAAGAGACAGATTATAAATCCATAAACTTGATCATATATTTTCATCCTCTCCGATCGAGATATCTCCGTCGCGATCGCCACCACATCTGTTAACTGTTCCACCGGCCGGCGACACCACCACTTGCCACCGCACCCAAAATGACGAATTCTCTTCTACCTCCACACTTTGTCCTCTTCCCATTCATGTCTCAAGGCCACACCATCCCCCTTCTCTACTTCTCCCGCATCCTCTTCGACCGTGGTATCTCCGTCACCATCATCACCACCCCCGTCAACTACTCCGCCGTTAAATCCACCGTCAAGAATGATTCCATCTCTGTTATCGATATCCCGTTCCCAGAGGATATCGTCGGTGTCCCTCCCAGGATAGAAGTTGGAGACAAGCCATCGGCCATGACTGACTTCATTAATTTCGTCGAAACCACTGACAAACTACAGCCTGGGTTTGAAGAAATTGTTCGCAGTCTACCTCCGGTCAGCTGCATAATCTCCGATGGGTTTTTAACTTGGACTCAAGACTCCGCAGATAAACTCGGGATTCCGCGTTTGGTGTTCTACGGGTGCAACATATTTTCCATGACCATGTGCAACATCATGATGCAGTTCAAGCCACATGGAGCGGTTAGTTCCGATGATGAGCCGTTTCCGGTCCCGGACTTCCCTCGTCTTAAATTGACGGTGAATGACTTTGAACCCCCGTTTAGAGAGGTCGACCCCAAAGATCCAATGATGGATTTTGTGCTCAAGCAGCAGGCGGCTAATGTTAAGAGTCATGGCATGGTGGTAAACAACTTCTACGAMCTGGAACCAGAGTTTATCGATTACTGGAACAAAAACTTCGGAACCAAAGCATGGTGTGTCGGACCTTTCTGTATAGCCAAACCAGCGGCACCCAAACAGATGGTGGAATGGCCGACATGGATCCAGTGGCTCGACGAAAATCTTCTGGAGAACAAGCGGGTGATATTTGTGTCGTTTGGCACACAGGCGGAGGTGTCTCCGGAGCAGTTACGTGAGGTGGCGGTTGGTTTGGAGAAGTCGAACGTAAACTTCATGTGGGTACTGAAACCRATACAGCTTGAGTTGGTAGGAGGTGAAGGGTTTGAAGAGAGGGTGAAGGGGAGAGGGAAGGTGGTGACTGAATGGGTGGACCAGGTGGAGATTCTGAATCATGAAAGTGTAGGTGGGTTTTTGAGTCATTGCGGTTGGAACTCGGTGCTGGAGAGCATTTGTGCAGGTGTGGCGGTGTTGGCAATGCCGTTGATGGCAGACCAACACCTGAATGCTCGCATGGTGGTGGAGGAGATTGGGATGGGATTGCGATTGTGGCAGAGGGAGAAGGTGGCGCGTGGGTTAGTTGGGGCGGAGGAGGTGGAGAAGATGGTGGTGGAGTTGATGGAAGGTGAAGAGGGGAGAAGGGTGAAGGAGAGGGTGATGGAGGTGAAAGAGGGTGCATATGATGCAATGAAGGAAGGTGGTTCATCATGGCTGACATTGGAGTCATTGATCGATCATGTCCGTGGAGATGTGGTTCCAAGAGTCTATTAATTGGGATCATATGAATAAATTTGTTGGTTAGTTTTTTGCTTTTATCTTTGTGAGTTCTTGTTATCGAGTTTTTTGTCGTAAAATTTTAAAAAACATAATAAATTTGAAATTAACAACTAAAAACTAAGAAATGGAGGATTTGAAGCTGTGTCTGGCGTAGAAGAATATATATATATATATATATATATATATATATATATATATATATAGAGGGGCAGGTTCAAATGCAAACCATCCAATTTTAAAAATCCGTGTAAACCAATTTCGACCAATAAGAAAATTTCATTTTTTTAATTAAATTTAATTGATAAGGGTATTTATGTCATTTTACACAATTTTTTGATGATTAAGGAAGTTATTAATACATTTTATTTAAGGCAATTTAATAAAAGAAAGTATGAAAATGGTAATGTTTCAAACTTTTATTATATTATATTATTAAAATCTTGATTTTTAATTATTTGGTATGCAATGAATCTGGAAAGCTTGTATGAAGATTATATCAACTTTATGAATGAAATCGTGGGTTGAGGTTGGAGAAAAAAAAATCAATGTTCATGAAACTGTATTAATATGAAAAAGTTTCATTGTAAAATGATTTATTTTCTTCTTCAACGCATATGGTATATATAAATGAAATAGGTTCATGATGGTAAAACATTTTCGTTTTCTAATTGATTCGTGATTCATGAACTAGTTTCATGGTGATCAATGTTGCATTGTAATCGAAGTTGATCAGTTTAGTTGGTAGAATGAACAT